CTTGGTTGAGGAGATGAAATGTTAACAATACACTATATCCTTGGTTGCGGAGATGAAATGTTAACATTATTCTACTATCTCCTGGGTTGAGGAGATGAAATGTTAACATTATTCTACAATCTCCTCAGTTGAAGTTGTGAAATGTTAACATCAATTTGATTCCAGGGTAGTAGATTTTATTGAGCTGTATTGCAATAAAGTCAGACCGTAACACAATGGGGACCAGGACACAGGCTTTACAAGACCTTTAACAGCTCTACCCCACAACGAGTGTGATATTTATATAGGTGTTGTGTAGTTACATTAGCTGGCTCCAGAGTCAGGTTAGTCTGTCTGTCTGTAGAAATGTATTGTATCCGTATGATTAGCCCACAATACCCATCACGTAACACAATACTCCATATATACAATTGTCATTCCCTGGAGTAAATAAAGTTTTTAGTTTCGACACAAAACTAAATTGGATATTTTTTCAAGTTTCATGTGAACCAGAGAAACGTAATTAGAAAACTAAAAGCTGATACTCAGTGCTGATGGTAATACACAACTATAATGCCTTGTTAATGCGTTTCAGAATTTTTATTAAACAATTATCCCTCTTATAGATACAAAACATTGAATTCATAGATTTGTTGATAACAATCTTCAACACGTAGTCCGCAGAGGAATAGTACTTGGGGTATATGTTAAGTTTTATTGTAAATTGTGAAAAACATTTACAAAGTTCATTAATTAAAGACTTGTCATGCATTCGCAAAAATTAAAATGTTTTGTAAGAATTAACAAACCTGCAGTAGTACGGTTGAATTAAATAGTAACTGTACTACAGTATTTGATTTCCAAACAAATTGAATGGCTACAGATTGTATACTGCTTCATATAGCACAAGCATTAACATTTCACTGGTCGTGCTGTATGAACCTATACCTATCCAACCTGAAGAAAACGTTTATAAAAGTGACTGCTGACTACTCGGGTATCTACACATGTACATCAGTGATATAATTGTTGTCTCTCAATTCCTTCATTCTGGATTAGCAGAGACTTTTGAAGCCGACCATCATCTGATGGATATTGACAGTGAATGTTTGTTATGGCTATACCTCAGAATGTTTTGGAGAGGTCTTTCTCAATTTTGATTGAGATCTTTCTGATATTGTAATGATCGGATCTATTTCTCTTACATTTAAAGAACTGTACTACAGAAGTAAATATGTGGAGCAGTGCATTTACTGTTTACATGACTTGATCAAACAGACAAGAGAAAAGAAGAGAAAAGATCAAACTGACATAGAACTAATGAAGATGGTACAATGGTAGGCGCCAAGATCCCTCTGGGATCTCTTGTTTTACTAGCTTTCACTTTCCACAAAGTCACTGATAAGCACAAATGATTGCATCACCGATACTCCAGGGTTATGCTCACTTTCGCTCTCTGCACCCCTGGGATATGTCATTACAAAATCGAAGGCACACGGTAAAAATACTTGACCGATCGTTAGGCTATACCTGTCCTTTGAAGATTACAGACGAGGAGGAGTCAAAGCCAGTCAGTTTTACTGTTTCTCTACTGCAGGATAAGTTTGATGTACATCAGAAGATCAAACCTACATGAAGGTCTGGTTAATTCAGGTATCCATATTACACAGGTTCAGTTTACATAAAAAAGTGTATACAGTGGGACCTACATGAAGGTCTGGTTAATACAGGTATCCATATTACACAGGTTCAGTTTACATAAAAAAGTGTATACAGTGGGACCTACATGAAGGTCTGGTTAATACAGGTATCCATATTACACAGGTTCAGTTTACATAAAAAAGTGTATACAGTGGGACCTACATGAAGGTCTGGTTAATACAGGTATCCATATTACACAGGTTCAGTTTACATAAAAAAGTGTATACAGTGGGACCTACATGAAGGTCTGGTTAATACAGGTATCCATATTACACAGGTTCAGTTTACATAAAAAAGTGTATACAGTGGGACCTACATGAAGGTCTGGTTAATACAGGTATCCATATTAAACAGGTTCAGTTTACATAAAAATATACACAGTTGGACTTACTTGAAGGTCTGGTTTATGCAGGTATCCACATAACACAGGTATCTTTATCACATAGGTTCAGTTTACATAATATATATACAGTTGGACCTTTACAAGTTGAAGGTCTTGTTTCTACAGGTTTCTACATATCACAGGCTCTGTTTACATAAAAAAATATATACAGTTGGACCTACATGAAGGTTTTGTTTATACAGGTATCCATATTACATAGGTTCTGTTTACATAAAAATATATACAGTGGGGCTTAGTAAAAGAACTTGTTTATACAGGTATCCACATAACACAGGTTCAGTTTACTTAAAAATATATACAGTGGGGCTTAGTAAAAGGTCTTGTTTATACAGGTATCCATATTACACAGGTTCAATTTATATAAAAATGTATACAGTGGGACCTAGTTTAAGGTCTTGTTTATACAGGTATCCACAATACGCAGGATCTGTTTACATAAAATATATAGAGTTGGACCTAGTTGAAGGTGTTGTTTATACAGGTATCCACATAACACAGATATCTTTATCACATAGGTTCAGTTTACATAAAATATATACAGTTGGACCTTTACAAGTTGAAGGTCTTGTTTCTACAGGTTTCTACATATCACAGGCTCTGTTTACATAATAAATGTGTACAGTTGGACCTACATGAAGGTTTTGTTTATACAGGTATCCACATAAAACAGGTTCTGTTTATTTAAAAACGTGTACAGTTCGACCTAGTTGAAGGTTTGGTTTATACAGGTATCCACATAACACAGGTTCTGTTTATAAAAAAAAATATACAGTGGGGCTTAGTAAAAGGTCTTGTTTATACAGGTATCCATATTACACAGGTTCAATTTATGTAAAAATATATACAGTGGGATCTAATTGAAGATCTTGTTTATACAGGTATCCATATAACACAGGTTCAATTTATGTAAAAATATATACAGTGGGATCTTATTGAAGATCTTGTTTATACAGGAATCCATATTACACAGGTTCTGTTTATATAAAAATGTGTACAGTTTGACCTAGTTGAAGGTTTGGTTTATACAGGTATCCACATAACACAGGCTCTGTTTATATAAAAATATATACAGTGGGGCTTAGTAAAAGGTCTTGTTTATACAGGTATCCATATTACACAGGTTCAATTTATATAAAATGTATACAGTGGGACTTAGTTTAAGGTCTTGTTTATACAGGTATCCACAATACGCAGGATCTGTTTACATAAAATATATAGATTTGGACCTAGTTGAAGGTGTTGTTTATGCAGGTATCCACATAAAACAGGTCCTGTTTATATAAAAATGTGTACAGTTGGACCTAGTTGAAGGTTTGGTTTATACAGGTATCCACATAACACAGGTTCTGTTTATATAAAAATATATACAGTTGGGCTTAGTAAAAGGTCTTGTTTATACAGGTATCCATATTACACAGGTTCAATTTATGTAAAAATATATACAGTGGGATCTAATTGAAGATCTTGTTTATACAGGTATCCATATTACACAGGTTCAATTTGTGTAAAAATATATACAGTTGGATCTAATTGAAGATCTTGTATGTAAAAATATATACAGTGGGATCTAAATGAAGATCTTGTTTATACAGGAATCCATATTACACTGGTTCTGTTTACATAAAAATGTGTACCGTTGGACCTAGTTGAAGGTCTGGTTTATACAGCTGGTATGCAGATTATACAGAGTTACATAAAAAAAAACCACAGTTGGACCTAGATGAAAGTTTTTGTTTGTACAGGTATCCATATTACATAGGTTCTGTTTATGTAAAAATATATACAGTGGGGCTAAGTAAAAGGTCTTGTTTATATAGGTATCCATATTACACAGGTTCAATTTATATAAAATGTATACAGTGGGACCTAGTTTAAGGTCTTGTTTATACAGGTATCCACAATATGCAGGATCTGTTTACATAAAATATATAGAGTTGGACCTAGTTGAAGGTGTTGTTTATGCAGGTATCCACATAAAACAGGTTCTGTTTATATTAAAATGTGTACAGTTGGACCTAGTTGAAGGTTTGGTTTATACAGGTATCCACATAACACAGGTTCTGTTTACATAAAAATATATACAGTGGGGCTTAGTAAAAAGGTCTTGTTTATACAGGTATCCATATTATACAGGTTCAACTTATGTAAAAATGTATACAGTGGGACCTAGTTTAAGGTCTTGTTTATACAGGTATCCACATAACACAGGTTCAGTTTACTTAAAAATATATTCAGGTGGACCTAGTTTAAGGTTATGTTTGTACAGGTATCCATATTACACAGGTTCAGTTCACATTAAAATATATAGAGTTGGACCTAGTTGAAGGTCTTGTTTATGCAGGTATCCACATAACACAGGTATCTTTATCACATAGGTTCATGATCAGTTTGCATAAAATATATACAGTTGGACCTTTACAAGTTGAAGGTCTTGTTTCTACAGGTTTCTACATATCACAGGCTCTGTTTACATAATAAATGTGTACAGTTAGACCTACATGAAGGTTTTGTTTATACAGGTATCCACATTAAACAGGTTCTGTTTATATAAAAATGTGTACAGTTCGACCTAGTTGAAGGTTTGGTTTATACAGGTATCCACATAACACAGATTCTGTTTATATAAAAACGTGTACAGTTCGACTTAGTTGAAGGTTTGGTTTATACAGGTATCCACATAACACAGATTCTGTTTATATAAAAATATATACAGTGGGGCTAAGTAAAAGGTCTTGTTTATACAGGTTTCCATATTACACAGGTTCAATTTATGTAAAAATATATACAGTGGGATCTAATTGAAGATCTTGTTTATACAGGAATCCATATTACACTGGTTCTGTTTACATAAAAATGTGTACAGTTGGACCTAGTTGAAGGTTTGGTTTATACAGCTGGTATGCAGATTATACAGGGTTACGTAAAAATAAACACAGTTGGAAACTTTTTGTTTGTACAGGTATCCACATAAAACAGGCTCTGTTTGCATAAAATATATACAGTTGGACCTAGTTGAAGGTCTTGTTTATACAGGTATCCATATTACACAGGTTCAGTTTGCATAAAAATAAACACAGTTGGACCTAGATGAAAGTTTTTGTTTGTACAGGTATCCACATAAAACAGGCTCTGTTTGCATAAAATATATACAGTTGGACCTAGTTAAAGGTCTGTTCTATACAGGTATCCACATAACACAGGCTTTGTTTACATAAAAAGTGTGTACAGTTGGACCTAGATTTTGTTTGTGCAAGTATCCAACCTTCCACAGGTTCAGATCACATAAAAATATATACAGTTGGACCTGGTTGAAGGTCTTGTTTATACAGGTATCCATATTATACAGGTTGAGTTTACATGAAATGTGTACAGACATACGTGAAGGTCTGTTTTATGCAGATATACAGATTTTACAGGGTTACATCAAAATATTTACAGTGGGACCTAGTTGAAGGTCTTGTTTATACAGGTATACAGGTGACACAGGTATATTTTACACAGAAATGTGTACAGGTAAACATAGTTGAAGTTCTGGTTTATAGATGTTTACAGTTTTTACAGGTTTCAGTTTGATCAGGTCCCTCTGTCAACAAGATTTTGTTTTGAGCGAGGTAACCAGTGTTTATTACCCTCACTTCACAAATAGTATTTATCACTTGACCATTGTAAACACAGAGTCTAAAGACACTTTAGGATAATGGCATCAAGTGGCAAATCTCCTAAGAGCAGCAATCCTTTCCAGAGCAGGGTTTTGCTCCCAATCCTCTATCGGTTTATTAGCTGAGTCCAGGTAAGCTCTGATGGCCCTAGGGTATTCCCCAATGGTTTCGTAACATATTCCCAACATTGTATGCACCATCCAGTGTCCTCTGTGGCAGTCATCTAAGCTGAGCAATTTCATGTTACGTAGTNCGTAACATATTCCCAACATTGTATACACCATCCAGTATCCTCTGTGGCAGTCATCTGGGCTGAGCAATTTCATGTTACGTAGTGCTAAATCACGTCCTCTTTTGTCTCTGAGCTCATGGCAGCAAAGGAAGGACAGGAACACAGCATATGATAGTGGAGTAGTAGGCACACCATATATTGGGTTTCTTGATACCACCAAGCGAAAGTGGGGAAGATGCATCAATTTGTTATTTACTTTTATTATTTCTGTGAATATTTTCTTCAGTTTGTAAATTGAGGTATATCCTTTGCCACAGTATTGCTTTATATACATTGCTTCTTGTTTTTCGTGCAAGAGAGTTCTAGTAAAGGTGAAATATGATGGCTGTGAAGTTATTTGTTTACACATCTGTAGGGCGTTCAAGTAGTTCCCTGTGAGGTAGTGAAGAGTTGCCAAATCCAAAACCTTTGTGCCCATTGAGGCACAAAGTGTCAACCTGTGTTGACACTTCCTCAAGGTGCGATACCTGGTCTTGTTGTTTGTAAGCCCACCCATCAGGTTTTGTTGAGCTTCTGAACTTGCTAATTGAGATACCAATTTGACAGTGTTTGCAAATGTGAGCACTTCGTCTACTTCCGAATGAGATTTCATTAGTAAATCTATTGATCTGATAATGGCAAATGATATATCTTTAGCATCCAAAGATTTCACCACCCTCTTGTTCTGCAATGTACATTTGGCAAACATGTCTTGTGTGTACTCGATTTCTTGTGCAGTTTGTGCACACATTAGTTTGGTTTGCACTTCAACACTACAAACACGTTGCAGTATATCTACCGGATGGTGACGTGTCCCAGGACCTTTTGATAGACAAAGTAACTTCTTTATATGAAACCTGTCGAAAATGTGAAATAGCTTTTGTTGATTTTGTCCATGAACCTTTCTCTGGAACAAGTTGTTGGTTGGAATGAAGTATTGGGGGAAGTGTCCTGCCCTGACATAAGATATCAAAATATTAAAGCAAAACCAGAAACAATGAAATAATTTTTGTTCCTGCCAGAGCTTTGGATGAGAGTTTTCCATTGAAAAAAACATCAGTGTTTTTAAATGATAAGAGCACAAAATATCATCATCTTTTTTCCCAATGATATTTCGCAAAGTGTCTTTCAATTGTTTCAAGAAATATTTCAGCAAAAAGTAAACTTTCATTTGTATGTGACTAAAAGAGTGAACTAACAGTCTCTCTGCTGATGCAAACGATATCCTCCACTGCAATAGTGTGTCGTCGGAACATTTGTCCCCTACAGGGACAAGATGACAACCACTTTGTACAACTCTGTCAATCAGTGCTTGTGTTGGCCATCCATACAGACGAGGACGTGTCACCCATTGGTTAGCCTCCCTTGGCCAACTGTTACAGTGAAAGCATCTTACCATATCTAAAAAACCGTTCGAAGTGCTCGGCCCATTTGAATTCATAGGCATTGCTGGGCTATTTAGTTTTTTTACATGCTGTTCTCTGTACATGTCACTTGAAACAAATATAGCCTTTCCAATGGGAACAAGTGAATTGCATAAACACTCTGCAATTTTCTGTCCAAGATGACCTAATTGTAAGGCAACATATCCAGGTCGACAGTCGGCCTCTTTCACATACAGCACAGTCCTTCTTGTACTGTCTGGAGAAACATGCTGTTCGGGATACATAACCTCCACATATTTATCCACCAACATAACGTCAACATCTGAACGAGGTAGACTAACTCCTTCAATGGTACTTCCACAGAACATTATTTTTACGTCATCAAGAATGTTATCTATATATTCCTGTCCAAGCATTTCTCTTCTCCTGAAGTCCATTATCTCCCTTGACCCCAAGATTTCCCTCTCAAGGAGTTTTGACAGCAACACGGAAACCCTCTCAATATCCCATGGGCTCTCCATAGCTGTATGTTGGTGAGGTCTGCAATGGAAGAATATCTCTTTTCACAAATATTTGAAAACATTATAATAATATACAACATTTATAAAGCACCCATAATCCAATTTGCAAAATTACTCTAAGGCGCTTTACAACACATGAATTGTAGTATCCCTACAGTGACAGTTATTAATATAGTTGATTAAAATAAAGCATAAAAATCAGCATTATACATTTATAAGTTGTATCAAGACATTTATCTTGGATTTTAAGACTTAAAGTTTGTTATCACTATATTTCGATCAAAGAGTACTAAACAGATCTTTCTCAAATTTCATGTGAAGATTCCCCTTGGTCCCTAGTTGGGCATGTATACTTTGAGAGTGATCATAAAAGCAAGATGGCTGCAGGCAGTCATCTTTGATTTTGACATTTCAATAACATTATCACTATTTCCAAGGAAGTATTTAACAGATCTTTCTCGTATGAAGTACTGTTCTAGTAAATATGTGAAAAATAAACACACTTCGAACTTTGAAGGCTGTCTTTTAAACACAGCAGTATGAAGTTTAGATCAAAAGTTACCTCAAGGTGAATTTACTGTTTACATGACTCAATCAAACAGATAAGAGAAAAGAAGGGAAGATGTCGAAACATTGATGAAAAGAAGGGAAGATGTCGAAACATTGGTGAAACATTGCAACCAGTTTCTATGGGTTTATTCATTGATTGCATGAGTAGAGTAGCGTGTTCGTAATTACCCTACACATGTCCGTATCACAACCAGTTCCTCTATATTCCGTGTTTTGTTTTATATTTTCGTTAGTGTTCATTTTATCGACCAATCAAAAGCATAACAAAAAAATTGCAACAGAAAGGGATTTCCTTCTGACAAAATATGGTCGTAGATGACAGCTGATAGATCGCACACAGCATGTTGATTAACTGTACCAAGGAGTGTGCTTTAGTAGTCGTCATTTGAAAAGTGTCCGTATTTTGATCAAGTTACGATTTTAAAGGTGAACAAATGTCTTACCTCTCTGTTGTATTTGCTCAGGAAGGCAACTGCTTCATAATTTCAGAACACCCGGACCCCAAGTCTTTGATACAGACATCTCCACCAGTTGTACGTCTGGGTCTGCCATCCCTACTGGTTTATTCCAAGTGTGGTCGGGTTTTAATCAGCAGCTGTAGTCCTTTAACTTTGGGATATTCCGAGAACCCATAAGGAAGTTTTTGTTTTGATGTATGGGTCGATGAGTCATTAAGAGTGAGGATTGGATGCTCAAATATGTACAACTGTAACTGGAAAACAAAGTTTATAGAAATTTTCACTATTAACATAAAATTAAGTGGAAAATTGAAATTCTTCCTTGTACGGGAGGTATAAATGCACTTAATATTTCGTGATTTTGTTCACATTATGACATGTTTAAAGTCAAGGAAAATATACAGTAAATCCCCATTTACTCGAACTCGTAGGGTCCATGGAGATCAATAGTTCGAGGAATGCATGGTATTCGGCATATCCAAGGTTCGACCAACATCATCATTTTTTAGCTCACCTGGCCTTTTCACCTGACCCGAAGGGCCAACTGAGCTTATATTATGCTGTGGTGCGGCGTCCATCTTTTGTCCGTCTGTCCTCCGTCCGTCCGTCTGTCTGTCGTCCGTCCGTTCTCCGTCTGTCCGTCCTTTGGCGTCAATATCTACTTTAAACAACTTCTGAATAACCAAGAGGCCGAAGCTGATACTTATATATGGCCTGTAGCATGCTGGGATGAAGGGCTACCAAGTTTGTTCAAATAAATGACCTTGACCCACTTTCAAGGTCACTGCGGTCAAATGTCGTAAAATCTTCAAACGACTTCTTCTCAATAACCAAAAGGCCCAGGGTCCTGATATTGGGACTGTAGCATGCTGGGATGAAGGGCTACCAAGTTCGTCAAATGTATGACCTTGACCCACTTTCAACCTAATGTCCTTGTTCGGCATTCAAGGTCACAGACGTCATATGTTTAAATCGTTTAATAGGTTCTTATGAATCAAACACTGATATTCTGCCTGTAAATGTATTTCAGTCCACTTTTAAGATTACAAGTGTGAGATTAATACCAGGTGAGCGATGCAGGCCCATTGGGCCTCTTGTTTCTGTGTGTTATTACCATCTCCATAACATATTGAATGAAGTTGCTAAGTGTTTAAATTGAATCAGTTGATGATTTTCTATATATAGCAAGTTACCTTGGCCTTGACCTTGGAACCCTGAAACACAAGGATGTCAGAGGTATACCCATATTTGACCTTTGCATAATGTTTGACCAAAATCAATGAAAGAATGAAGTTGCTAAGTGTTTAAATTGAATTTAAATTTAACTCAATCACCCCTGAAATTGTATAATGAACTATTCCAACCTTTGATTTGGAAGAGTTCAAATGTGTCTTCAGGGGTGAATGAGTTAAGTCAACATTTGATGGTATAGATCTAGAGTAACCTGTATAAACTTGATATGACCAGAGACTGATATTCTCAGTATATGGCTGGTTTTTAAAGGATCCGCTTTACACAGTCAAGCGGACCCTTTTAATTAATCAGCATTTTGAAAAGATATACATAATTTAAACGTGACATGTATGTAAGGAATATTCAATTTTTTAATGTTTAATTGTTGGCAATAATTTACAATGAAAGTCGACACTTCTCATATTTACTAGACATTGATAGCAGTTGGTTTTTAAAAAGACTTACTCTTTAATGATCTGAAACTGCCTACAAATATATATCTGCCATTCCCATTGTCTTATATGAGTGTGGGCCGAGTGTGTGGGCCGTATGGTTGAACGTTAACCATTAGATTGTTCTGGTGGGATGGTGAAGTGGTAAAAGTTTCACGTCTGATACCAAACCAGACTTTTCTTTGTGTGTGTGTTGGTATACGTAGGTAGTGAGGGCAGCCCAGCCCAGATGGTTGATCAATCAAAAAATTGTAAAGTAGAGTTGGAATCTGCTGAATGGTAAAGACTATTGTTGAGGATAATTCCAATGAAATGTGTTTTATAGTGCTGATTTAACAACTAAGTTGGTGTGTGGCTCGGTTAAAATCGGGCTAGTTCTATAGAGCCCAGTGTTATAGCACTTCAGCCAAGTTTTTTATAAAAAAAAAATGGGTTCATAATTGAACTACATGTATAATGTTGATTTCTCCCAAATTTCACAGGTGTATATTATTACCTTTGTTGCTGGGAAAAGATAACACACCCTATTATTCTGAAAATGTCCCCATCACGTCATCACTTTCTGTAATGTAACAAGTGTCGTTAATTTCGTTACACATTTCACATGCTGTTGATGATGGCATGGTCCATCAGGTTTTCTGTTACAACAAAGTATGGGGAAAAACAGCCGCAAAGTATAGGCAGAGAAAACCTCAACCTCAAGATTTTTTAAAAAGTTTAGCAATAGACAAAGCCTCAAGCATAATTCAAAAATCTTACCCTAAGGTTGGTATTTCTCTGTCTGCATCACACGGGAGATACAGAATCTAATAATCTGTTATATGTAGGAATATAAGTGATATTTTGAGTCAATTTAAAAAATATTTTATCTGCAAAAGATCGATTTTAGAGCCATTTGCTTTATATTTTGTTTTAAAGCAGAATGAGCATGCAATAACTCCAAAAACTATGACATGTGTTGTGTGATGGTCAAATTAAACAAATGGGTGTCAGGTGGCGCAGTGGATAACACATTGGCCTTTCACCAAGGCAACTAGGACTTGATTCCCCGATTAGATGTGAAAAGGTATGATGTCATCTGCCTGACCACGTGGGGTTTTCTCCAGGTACTCTGGTTTCCTCCCACATTAAGACCCCCTGCGCACTCACATTCGGGCCCAAAAAGAATGATTAATATAAGTTATATAACTTGTTTCATAATTGTTGTAAAATAAATAAAGTTTATATTTAATTAAACAGTCAATTCCATCATGCATGTTTATTGCTGCCCCTTAAACTGACCCTTCGTAGTTGCTTTATCTTCATCTGATAAACAGACACGGTATATATTTGACTTAAATCTGCCCCTAAAACTGACCCATCATGCTCGTCTTATCTCTGTTTTACAGATTTGTAACTCCACCCACATTCTAAGTGATGATAAGGAAACGCAATCTATTCAAACTGCATGTAAATTTTAAAAGATACGTAATAAAACTACTGTGAAAAATGAAACGAAAATTCAATATACTAAAAGAAAGAGCCAGCCATATATACAAACTACATGTAAAATGTTTAATAAAACTGCTGAGATAAGTGTCAATTCATAATACGAAAGAAAAAGCAACATATCATAATGACATGTAAAGTACACATAATCAACTGCTAAAAACAAATCAGAAATATGATACACGGAAAGAGGGAGGGGGGGGGGGGGNCATGTAGATTGTAGTCAATGAAATACGTCTTCATTGTTTTGGATATATTTATTGTTGAAGATGGCAGTTGGTACTATTTTTTCACACTAAGTGATCTACATTTTTACAACAGAATTACACTCATTAACCCCTGAAATTTCATAATGAACTATTCCAACCTTTGAATTGGAGGAGTTTAAATGTGACTTCAGGGTGAATGAGTTAAGTTGTACATGCTGATATATGTATGTATCTATCATATGACCATAAACCGTTATGTGTGGATATGAGTCACTCATTTCCTTTTTTCAATTTCAAGGGAAATGAGTAATTTGTGATGACAATTTTGACATGAACTGAGTTTTGTTTTATCTTGTTTTAAACAGCAGACAGAATATGGATCAATACATACTAACCTGTCTATTCTGACACGACTTGGTGCACAACAAATAAGGCATGTTCACCTGTCTAATCTGACACCCTGTAAGACACAACATAGTCGTGAGATTTACTTTAATATGATGTATCCCATGGGACACAACATGGTGGTCAGATTAACCTGTCTAATCTGACACACTGTGGGACACAACTTATAGGTCAGATTGACTTATCTAATCTGCCACACTGTCGGACACAACTTATTGGTCAGATAACCTTATCTAATCTGACACACTGTGGGACACAACTTATTGGTCAGATAACCTTATCTAATCTGACACCCTGTGGGACACAACATAGTTGTTAGATTAACCTGTCTAATCTAACACACTGTGGGACACAACTTATTGGTCAGATAACCTTATCTAATCTGACACCCTATGGGACACAACAAAGTGGTCAGATTAACCTGTCTAATCTGACACACTGTGGGACACAACTTATTGGTCAGATAACATTATCTAATCTGACACCCTGTGGGACACAACATAGTGGTTAGATTAACCTGTCTAATCTGACACCCTGTGGGACACAACTTATTGGTCAGATTAACTTATCTAATCTGACACCCCATGGGACACAACTTATTTGTCAGATTAACTGTTCTAATCTGACACCCTGTGGTCCACAACCTATTGGTTAGAATAAACTGTCTAATCTGACCCCCTGTGGGACACAACTTATTGGTCAGATAACCTTATCTAATCTGACACACTGTGGGACACAACTTATTGGTCAGATTAACTTATCTAATCTGATACCCTGTGGGACACAACCTATTGGTCAGATTAACCTGTCTAATCTGACACCCTGTGGGACACACCTTATTGGTCAGATTAACTTATCTAATCTGACATCCTGTGGGGCACAACCTATTGGTCAAATTGACTTATCTAATCTGACACACTGTCGGACACAACTTATTGGTCAGATAACCTTATCTAATCTGACACACTGTGGGACACAACTTATAGGTCAGATTGACTTATCTAATCTGACACCATGGGGGACACAACCTATTGGTCAGATTGTCTTATCTAATCTGACACCCTGTGGGGCACAACCTATTGGTCAAATTGACTTATCTAATCTGACACACTGTCGGACACAACTTATTGGTCAGATAACCTTATCTAATCTGACACACTGTGGGACACAACTTATAGGTCAGATTGACTTATCTAATCTGACATCCTGTGGGGCACAACCTATTGGTCAAATTGACTTATCTAATCTGACACACTGTCGGACACAACTTATTGGTCAGATAACCTTATCTAATCTGACACACTGTGGGACACAACTTATTGGTCAGATTAACTTATCTAATCTGATACCCTGTGGGACACAACCTATTGGTCAGATTAACTTATCTAATCTGACCCCCTGTGGGACACAACCTATTGGTCAGATTGACTTATCTAATCTGACACCCTGTGGGACACAACCTATTGGTTAGATTAACTTATCTAATCTGACACCCTGTGGGACACAACTTATTGGTCAGATTGACTTATCTAATCTGACACCCTGTGGGACACAACCTATTGGTCAGATTGACTTATCGTATCTGACACCCTGTGGGACACAACCTATTGGTCAGATTGACTTAGCTAATCTGACACCCTGTGGGGCACAACCTATTGGTCAAATTGACTTATCTAATCTGACACCCTGTGGGGCACAACCTATTGGTCAAATTGACTTATCGTATCTGACACCCTGCAGTCGGACACATTACCTATTGGTCAGATTAACCTGTCTAATCTGACACCCTGTGGGACACAACCAATTGGTCAGATTGACTTATCTAATCTGACCCCCTGTGGGACACAACCTATTGGTCAGATTGTCTTATCTAATCTGACACCCTGTGGGGCACAACCTATTGGTCAAATTGACTTATCTAATCTGACACCCTGTGGGACACAACCTATTGGTCAGATTGACTTATCTAATCTGACACCCAATGGGACACAACTTATTGGTCAGCTTGAGCATCCTTGGGTCAAGGGGACTCAATTTTGTATAATTGGTGGGTATAGGGGTGGGGCTCTGTTTGAAGTTTGTACTCGCTATATCTCAAGTACTGAATGGATCTTTCTGAAATTTTATATGTACTTACAGCACCTACCATAGAGTGCTATATCTTTACTTCATACCAATAATTTTAAACATATTCAGGTGAGCGATACAGGCCCTCTGGGCCTCTTGTTTTAATTTTGTAACAGGTGTATGTATTCACTAATAGGTGTATGTTTAACAGTTGTATGTATTTTTTTACAGGTGTATATATAACAGGTGTATGTTTAACAAATGTATGTATTTGTTTAACAGGTGTATGTATTTGTTTAACAGGTGTATGTATTTGTCTAACGGGTGTATGTATTTGTTAAACAGGTGTATGTATTTGTTTAAAAGGTGTATGTTTAACAGGTGTTTGTATTTTTTTTACAGGTGTATTTATAACAGATGTTTAACCGATGTATTTTATGGTATTACAGGTGACTGTGCTGAACCCTAAGGATGGTGTCATCTCGTACGCTGGACAGACAAGTGCAGACTCCATACAGATGAATCCCACTCAGCCTGTCATTGCCTTAAAAGGTCAGACCACGCCCACATCATACATAGGCCACTCCTATAAGACATAGCCATACACACTAAAACAAATCAAAGCCTGTCATTGACTATATACATGTGGGTCCTACCACTAGCTCCCACATCGGGAATAGGTCATTCTAACAAAGCCACACCTACTAGATAGATCATAGAGTCTATGACTGCCTTAGAGGTATGACCACTCCCATTTCATAAATAGGTCACTCCCACAACCTAAAACCACACCCACTGAAACAGATAGTAGTGTCAATCATTGCCTTACAGGTCTGACCACTCCCAGTGCAAAAATAGGCCTTTCCCAGAAGGAAAAAACACACCCACATGGTAATTAGATCTAGATCAGCTGTCACTCCCACAACATAAAACCACGCCCAGTGAAACAGATCAGAGTCCTTATGAAAGTCAGCCCATCCCCACATGGTAAGTAGATCTAGGTCGGCTGTCACAAGGTAAAACCACCGCACACTAAATCTGTTCACAGAGTCCGTCATTGCTCAAAAAGGTCAACCTGTACCTGTCAACCTTCTTAAAATTTTATGGATAAGAAAATGTGTTGCAAAATAAATATTAATGACAAAATCCCTACAGGGAATATTATAAAATTACTAGCAACAGTCGCCTTACATCTTTAGAGTTTTCGGGCTTAGCCCCTCATCAGGGTTGAATGGTCCTCACACTTGTGTCACATCTCTTTTTGAATACTTATGTATGTGACATAATTAAGGGTGAGAATCATTGAGTACCTGATGAAGGGCTAAGCCCGAAAACTTGGACATAGATTTAGTTTGTTTGTGTTTTACGTCCTATTAAGGACGTGCCAGGTTTTGGTGATGGAGAAAAAGCTGTAGTTCGAGGAGAAAAACCACCGACCTACAGCCAGTACCTGGCTACTGCCCCACGTAGGTCTCGAGCCCGCGACCTAGTGGTAGCTGAATGTGAGACGCCTTAACCACTTGGCCACCGCAGCCCCGACGTAGAGTGAATGTTGCTTTTATTGTGTTGCAAAAGTTTGATATGTTTAATGCCCACATAAAATGCCTTTTATGACCAAATAACATTGTAAAATTCTCTATTAAGCTATTCTAAACAATTTGTTGTGACCCCACCAAATCAGACCAGGGACCAATAATTGTCTTTTACATTTAGTAATCAGTTTTCCTGTGTTTGAGGTAAACACACTTACTTCAAAATGTATTCAAAAGTAAATATTATTATCAAGGTTTACATTATGAAGTGATAGGTCTGAAAATAAAATTATACCTTGGAGCAAAACATTTCATCCCACATGAAGCTTAACATTTTCATCCCTATGTAACTGTAGTAGACTCTACCTTGCATTGATCTGGATGAGTCCATTGTGGTCTACAGTGGTGATAGGGTAAACACCTACTATGAGTGTGTATGTACTGACTATGGTAATGAACCACCCTATCCCATCAGTGACATCTGACATACTTTGAGAATCAAGCATGTAATGGCCAGACTGGGGTTCGAACCCGGGACCCTCCGAACTCTAGACAGACGCTCTACCAATTGAGCTGGTCACCCATGATCGACCGAGTCCAGTTCCATTACAGATCTATAGGACATCTTGGAGTTGAGAAAATGTAATTTACTGTAGTTTATCATGTAATGGACCAAG